GTTGTGGGACTTCAGGTGAGAGAGATTTGTCCTGACCATGGGCCAGGCAGGACACAGGAAATCTTTCTACTACACAGAAGTACTAGGATCGAGTAGTCATCGGAGCATAATAAAGTATGAGTCATTTTATAAAGAGATGAGGGTAGGAGATGGGTGAGGTTAGGGTGATGGAGGTCACGCCACTGTGAAGGTCATGGCCCTGAAGGTGATGAGAAGCCATGGCAAAGCTTTAAGCAAGGATGGAATACGTTCACAACCTGCCTGACCACACTGTACACTTAACTACCATTGTACACTGGCGTAAAAGTTCCCCAGTCATCAAGCCTCACAGAATTCTTTAGACCTAGATTTTAAAATGTTTTAAAATAAGTAATTGGCTTTTGAATTAAAAATAGCTCCCCACGTGTCTGCCTGCCCCCTGTTTAAAGAACAAATACATCATGCAGAATTTTGTTCCTAACAGACAGCATGGGGCTGAAAAGAAAGACTTTTTTTTTTTCTTCTGGATATATTTGTAGTGTTTCCTACACGGTGTTTTGTTAGTGGTATTATTCAAAAACATAATAAAATACCTATGGGAGGAAATGTAAAGAAACAGTAAGGTCAGTGACTGACGGAACACAATCTTCACAACTCTGAGTCTTTGAATATTTTTTCAGATTTGTTTTTGCATTGAGAATTGAACGCAGGGCCTTGTGTATGTTGAGCATGTACTCTGGTCCCCGAGCTACACAGTTGGTCCCTCCTACTTTTTAAAGCCAACCCAACTATATTTATATGATTTGCTTATTTTATGTATATTGATGTTTTGTCTACATGTATATCTATTTGCACACCAGAAGAGGTGATCTGATCTCATGAAACTATAGTTACAGATGGTCGTGAGCCCCCATTTGGGTGTTGGAAATTGAACCCCTAAAAGAGCAGCCAGCGCTCTTAACTGCGGAACCATCTCTCCAGCTCAATATTTTAAAAATTAGAAGCAGATATTCAAAGAAAATAACAACAAACAAAACCCAAACCGACAACAAACCCCAGCCTCCCCCGTAAAAAGCATAGCAATGAAATTTGAGGGGTTAAGGTGGGTGGAAATTAGCTCCAAATCAAAACAACCACAAACATTTCATGCTCATTCATTCAATTCCTCAAACTTATAAACAGTATGAAGTCGCATCTGCTTCTGGCCCGGCCCTCAGCACATAGAACAGTGCCTGTTACAATGCAGAACTAAAGAACCGGTTGATGTCTGAAGATGTCGAGTCAGTCTAGCTCACTGAACGGTGTTTGCTGCCAAGTCTGACAGCCCGTGTTCCATTTTCCGGGACACACATGGCAGGAGACGAGAACTAACTCCTGTCTCTAGCACGCGTGCACACACATTACGATGAGAAGATAAAGGAAGAGAGCTCATTACTTGGGAAGACTTCTTTTCTACTCCGTGTGAGAGTGAAGTCCTCAAGACACTTCGTTTTCTTTCTCCTCTACAAAGATCTCCTGGGACTGGGGATGTAGCCCAGTTGATCAGAGTGCCTGCCTCACGTACACCAGGCCCTGAGTTCAAGCCCCAGCACCTCACAAAGCAGGCATAATATCAGAAGCCTGCAATCCCAGCCTCTGAGGTAGAAGAAGGAGAATCAAAAGTTCACGGTCATCATCAGGCCACCAAACAAATTTAAAACCAGCCTGCACTACATAAAACTGTCTCAAAATAAATAAATAAAAACAGAAAGAAAGAAAGTGGTGTCCCATATTTATTACTGGAGCAACCTACAAATGCAGAACCTAGAGACAAAGGAAAGAACCCTTCGCCCTAAGGAGCGTTCACTGCGTGGACAGTGATGACGCTGCAGGCTTGGTGTGCTGAGATGACATTGGCCTTTAAATCCATGTGTCAATTATCTCCTGTGAAATTCCGCATAAACCCACTCCCTGGCTTCTAATATCTCCTTTCAGAATCATAACTGGTTCGATTACATTCTCATCTGAAGCCACTGTGGGGGCTGGGGTGTCGATAGGGGGTGAATCATCAGGGAGACAGGGACAGATAAGAATCCAGTAAGGAATGTGCTGTGGGATGGTCTGTATGTCAAGTGTGTTGCTGATTGGTCAATAAATAAAACACTGATTGGCCAGTGGCCAGGCAGGAAGTGTAGGCGGGACAAGGAGGAGAATAAAGCTGGGAAGTGGAAGGCTGAGTCAGAGAGACACTGCCAGCCGCCATGATGAGAAACAGCATGTGAAGATGCTGGTAAGCCACAAGCCATGTGGCAAGGTATAGATGAATGGAAATGGATTAATTTAAGCTGTAAGAACAGTTAGCAAGAAGCCTGCCACAGCCATACAGTTTGTAAGCAGTATAAGTCTCTGTGTTTACTTGGTCGGGTTTGAGCGGCTGTGGGACTGGCGGGTGAGAGAGATTTGCCCTGACTGTGGGCCAGGCAGGAAAACTCCAGCGACAGGAACGGGCCAACCTTGTTCCTGTCTTTTGATCCTGGAAGTCTATTAAGAGGACACTGGGAAGCAGGAAGTCAGGAGCACACACCACAGTGATGGGGGAAAGCGAGAGGACAGCCAAGAGGGTGGCGTCGTTTCTCTTATTCTCACAGTGAGTACGGCCCAGTAGCTGGACCCACTCGCAGCCCCTGAGAACCTTCACTGATGGCCACTCCCCATGTCCACTGGCTGGCTTGGAGAAGAGGCCCTAGACTAAATCCTCTGACCTCCACACATGGGCCCACACACATACATCATAAGCAAGAACACAATAATAACAAAATAAAACACTTTTTTTAAAAAAGAAACGGGTAGAATAGAGCTACTAAAATACACCATAATGAATGTTGGCTCACTTCTCCTGCTGTGAATCTGACCTGAAAATTTGGCATCTCCGAAATAAACTCTCACGGGACAGCTTACATGCATGTCCCTAGCCACCAGGGGACACAGGAAACTGCCATAGCAGCCTGCAGGAAGTGGTGATACTTAATTCCAAAACGGGTGTTTTATGACTCTGGTTAACACAGTGGACCAAAAAAGCCTCATATGTTTGCTGCCTTCCAACACACATAGGTACAGTCACAGACACACATACACACAGACACACACACACACACACACACACACACACACACACACACACACACGCATGCACACGTCCTTCCTAACCTTATTTCCAGGTCAGACAGTTTACTTCCACAGATCTCCTCATTTTCCCTAATCCTTTGTCCTTTCTGGTAAGACATTTCTTTCTAATATTCAGGGGAAAAGAAATGATTATTCCTTCTTTTCCCGCTGCAACAGAAATAGTTGAAACTTCAGGCTACTTGAATCTCGGGCCAGATCCCAGCTTGACCTGGGACCAACTGTACCTGGACCCACATAAGCGAAAGCGCCACTCCAGTCTGCGGCTCCACTCATCTGCACACGGAGGTAAGAAAGGTGAACCTAACCTCTGGTACCAACTGTACCAACAAAAACAATGCCAGATGCCACATGCAGAATATTGACATGTGTTTTAAACAGAAATTTGTCGGACTGGCAAGATAGCTCAGCAAGTCTAGGTGCATAATGACCTGAGTTCAATCCCTGGAAAGAGCTCCACACAGCTGTCCTCTGACCTCCACACATGGGCCCACATACATACATCATAAGCATGAACACAGTGATAACAAAATAAAACATTTTTTTAAAAAAAAGAAACGGGTAGAATAGAGTTACTAATGCACCATAATAAATGTTGGCTCACTCCTCCTGCTGTGAATCTGACCTGAAAATTTGGCATCTCTGAAATAAAACTCTCACGGGACAGCTTACATGTCTGTCCCTAGACACCAGGCTTGTCCACTTTCTGCCTCTAAGGGGAATTCTGTGACTGCCCTTCTAATTCAGCTATTAGGAATGCTGAATTATCGGAGATCTAAATAAGTCTAACTGCTTTGAGTCTAGTATGAAGGTAGCTTCCAACAGCACTCAAAAAATGTGCCAAAGCTATTCCAAGAGTGGCAGGCATAGGACCATTCTTGCCTAGACACCCATAAGCCACCCAGTGCAACACTGGAAACCGGTATACCGGGACATTCCCACTACAGCTCACACGACTTATGGGAGACAGTTTTGAAAAGCAGCCCAGGTCCGAATCAAAGGAGGAGTTTGTTTACTGCCATCAGTTCACAGCTGCCTGGCATACCTTGGCTCCGTTTCCAAATCACCAAAAACCATCCAAAAGACTTCCCCTAGGTGAAGGCACAAGGCTGTACACAGGAATCGCTAATAAGAAAATACTGTAACCTGAACGTTGAGAATTCTATTTGGACCGACTCCGGCCGCAAGCACTCCCCATTTGTCTGTCTCCAGTGCTATAGAAACTGCCCTGCCCACAATGTTGCATGAAATTTGTGCAGTAACTTCCCTCAGACAGAAACATGGCCTGTTTTACCTCATGTGTTCCAGAATGCTTACTTAAAAATCCGTCTCCCAGCACTTAAGACTTCAGTCCTTATCACGGACTATGACCAGGGTTCATTCCAAAGACGGAGTGAAGCCCCAGCGCCCATCTAACACACAGTAGAAGGTGTAACAACAGTTTCCAGTTACTGAGGTGTCCTTAGGTCACTGCTTCTCGGATATTTATAAGACCACAGAGCCAGCACAAAACTGTCAGTAAAAGCAACCAAACTCATCATTTTCAAGAACTTAAAAAAAAAATTTTTTTTCAAGTAACTTAAATGAACAAGTTCTTAGAACTCAGTAAGAGGGAGTAATGTGGCCATTGAGGTGGATGGGCAGGTAAAGGCATTTGCCACAGCCTGATGCCTGTGTTTAATTCCTGGAACCCATGCGGTAGAAGACTGAATGACACCCACAAACTGTCCTGACCTACACACACACACACACACACACACACACACACACACACACACACACACACACATTCGCAACCTGAAAATAAAGAGTAAATATGCAATTTAAAGAAGAAATGTCAATGACAATTCGGCACTGACCTGGAATCCTATTGAGCGTCACCCAAAAATGTTCATCAGGACTATAGGTATCTTTAGACCACTCTAAGAGATCAATGGCCCTTTTGTCAGTCATGATAAATCTGACAAAGTCTCTGGTGAGGGCCACATAGGCCGTGCCAAAGTAGATGGTCAGCTGGTGTGGAGGTGGAGTTTTCAAAGTATTTGTTTGTTTCATAAAAAATCCACCTTTGCCTGTACGTTCTTGGTGGACGTATTTAGTCCGCACAATTGCATGCTTTGGAGGCAGCACCCCTGGGGTGATGTTTTTTCCCTTAAATCTTTTCAGATGGTGAATTATTTCCTTGTTGGTTTTCAGGGGGAAGTCCTGCCCGCAGGTGTTGAGAACATACTTCCAGCGGACCTTGGATGCCAACAGATCTTTCATGCAGTTCAGGTCAGCCTGGAGACGGGAGAAGCCCCCATAGACCACCTTCTTAGTCTCAGAAGCCAGAAACGCGTTCGGGAAGCACTCCAGTAACTGCCAGACCGCCTTTTTAAACTTCCAGGGGGCTTTTTCATCCACGTGCACGCAATAGACATTCTGGGGCGTGTAAATGGCCCTGAAGAGCCTTTCAAAAGTGTTGAAGTCTTTGTGGATCACCATAGTGTAGGCCAGGGGGAAGGCAGCCTCTTCTCCGGACAGGGGTCTGGTGATATAGTGGCTCAGGGTCTTGTATAGTTGGCAAGAGATTCTTCCCAAAGGATGTGGCAATGTGTTCCCCCACATGAGGAACGTATGATTTTGCAAGCCGTAATCACAGGCGATGACAGTCCTTTCGCTGGAGCTGTTGAGCGGCTGGTAGAGATTGGACGGGCTTAGCTGGCTGGTATATAAGACCACAAAAATCACCACGCTGAGAGCAGTGAAAGCGAAAACGCAACTCATCCATACGTTCATTCTTTTCAGTTCCGGGCGGGAAGAATTATCTCCGGAGACTGAGGAGTGATCACAGTTCTGAAAGCCCAGGCGCGAGAGGCAGACCCGGTTCCCCCAGATTCTCCGGCTTCTCCCGCAGAGTTGCGGGCTCGCGCCCCCCAGTCCTCAAGGCGCAGGTCTCCAGTGTTTCTAAGTCTGGTCCATCCTCTCGGATGGGCTGGAGATGCGCAGCTTTCCCACCGCACGCTCGCATCCGAAGCCTGAAACCCCTAGCTGCCAAATCCGCGCCAGCAGGAGCCCCGCCCCGCCCCGCCTCTGGAAAGCCTCTTCATTTGCACACGAAAAACAAGAGGTACCTCCGAGCAAGCTGCGTTCTGGAACCGAGTGGTGGGACCAGGAACCGACTTTCTCAAGCGTCAACCCCACCCACCTCCCCTCCTTCCTTCTAAACTGCTCTCTTCGCGTACACCCCTGGCCTTCCAGAAGAGGTGGCTCTGTTTTCTGGTCAGCCTTAGGGCAACAGCTCCTCGGTGTCTGTTTCTCTTCTTTCTAGTTTATTTTTTAATTTTTTTTTTTCATTTCAGTGTTATCTCTGCCCCTGGGCAGAGGCAGAGATAAGGAAAGAGGGCATTACAACATGCCTAAATAGATAATCAGCAGGAAAAACAACAACAACAACAAAAAAAAACCTTTGTGGTGAGCTATGCTGGATTAAATCTTTGCGATGTGTTATGCCTGCTCAGACTATGAGAAGAGGGAACTAGGAATCAAACCGTGGGACACGATTTGAAGATGACTTCTCCTATCAGAGGGTCTGAGCTGATGACATACTATGGCGAAATGGGATAGCCATTGCTTTCTGTTTCATACAGAGAGCTTCAGATGTCTTGAGCTGTCAACACACTATTTTGTAACAGTCAAGCACCTAGCCACTGAGTCTCTTTTAGCAGCAGGATGTCATCGCATTTGTGGTCATTTTATAAAACTCCTGGGATTCTCTAGTCTCTTTCCCACCCACCCTGCTTTCCCACTTCCTGGACTCTGAAGAAAGAACAAATGCTTCTGGGCCGTTGTAAAATTCCTGGAAGTATCAGTCATTGTGACTCAGGGAAACCAGGAAGAGCAGGTCTGGTTACAAGGCTTGGAATTCTCTTAGCTTACCTGTGCACGTGTGGCCTGCCGCCTCACAGGGAGTGTGGAATGCTTTGGGGGACCAAGGCTGGTCCTGTGACTATTTCTAGGCAGAACGAAGCTGGGAGACTTTGGCGGTTGCTCTAGGGAGAAGTTCCTTGTCTCTGTAAGAATCAGGCTCTCTCTATGAAATGGCAAATAAATGCCTAGCTACAGTTCCAGTTTGATTAAATGAGACTCCTCCTGCTCACACCCCAGGAGGAAGCAGGCCCCTGTCTGAGTGTGAATTCCAAAAGTGTTACCTTTTGTTACTCTTTTTCCTCTTTTGAAAAATAGCCTATACTTCTGATCCTGCTAATAAACTGATATTTTGATTTCTGTTCTTAACAACGTAAAAGAAAAACATTTACCTTAAGGCTTTTAAGTGGGTTAATTAATCCCCAAAACCCACACCTTACTTTGAACAGGGTTTGGCAGCACATGCCTGTAACCTCAGCAGTTGGGAGGCTGAGACAGGAAGATTGCAAATTCCAAACTCTAGGCTAGTTTAGGCTACAAATGAGATCCTGTCTCAGAAAACCAATCAAGCTGGGTGTGTTGATACCGTTCTTTAATCTCAGCATTTGGGAGTTGGAGGGAGTGGATCTCTATGAGTTTGAAGCCAGTCTGGTTTATATAGAAAGTTCCAGAACAGTTGGGGTTACATAGAGAAAGCCTGTCTCAAGCAAACACACACACAAAAACAACTAAACAAAACCCATTTTCTCCCTTTATCATTTACCTCCAGTGGATGCCACAGTAAAGTAAACTCAAGAATTCATCATCAAGCAGATTGTACTTGTGGGGCAGGGGCGTGGGGTGTGTGGAGGTAGAGTGTTGCCACACAATTTATGGTTTAAAGCCATGGCCACCACCACCAAAAACATACCTCACCAATCACTTCTGTAGTTTGTGCTGGCATGTCTGCCCTGGCTCTGATGAATGGACTGAGAGGAATCTGGGATGTCTTTTTATTGACTAGCCTAAGCAGTAGGTTTGTTTTGCCTGGTCTCTGTGGTAACCGAGCAAGCATTTTTCTTCTAGCAAATGATTGGGAGAGCTGAGCTATTAACTTTGAACATGGGCATTATTTCTGCTCTGTTCACTCTAGTTGAATATAACTACTAAAAACTTTCCTCAAGGGTTTGGGGATTTAGCTCAGTGATAGAGTGCTTGCCTAGCAAGCTCAAGGCCCTGGGTTCGGTCCTCAGCTCCGGGGGGTGGGGGTGGGGGTGGGGCGGGGGAAACGGATAACAACAAATAAACTGTCCTCACGTTAATACTTTGTGTCCTGCCTCTCTGTGGCTCAGGATAACCTTTCTGATCACAAAAGAGACAGAAGACAACTAACAGCACACATAGTTGGGCCCACACACCAGCAAAGAACTGAGCAATCAGGAGAGGCTGATACAGGACCATCCATCCTGCAAGGACTGACTTCTCATTAACCTTGCAGAGGCTCATCTTCCAGCTCATGAAAGCAGAACAAGATTGGGACTCTGGGTGTGATTCTTGCCTATAGAACCAAGGTTATGCTTATTTATTTATTAACTGACATAATATTTGCATATACAGGGCCCAGTATTACCAGTCAGCACACTCCAGTATCACATAGGGTTGCATCAGAGTATTTCACATTTTCATTGCTCAATTGTCATTATTTCAATGTTAGGAGCCCTTTATCTCCTTGCAATGGTTACTTCGAAAGATAGAATTAATTTTTGATCATGGCTGCTCCCGCGTGCCATATAACACAGGGAGTCTTCCCAGCCTCTACCCAGGCGCAGGTTGAATCCTACGTGTTCTTGTTCATTTGTGGGATCTCCAAAAGTAATGGTTTGATTGAGTCCTCCAGGCTCCAGCAAGATCACTCCACCCAGTCCTGTACAGAAGGTTTCAGTTGTGTCTGTCCAGCAATGTCTAACTCTTTGGACCAAAAGGAGGTCAGAAAGTAAACAGAAAAAACCAGAAAATCCTCCAGCCATGAACACAATGATCAGAAGTTGTGGGTAGGCCTTGTGCTCTCCCAGGCATGGGGAAATGAGAGCATTGTGCTGGTGGAGGCTGACAGTGAGCCGACAGATGCAGCTACCACCTGGCCAATGTGTGTGGACATCAGAAGAGGGAGGAGGGAATGAGAACCTGCACCCCTTCCCTCACAAAGCAAGTATCTCCCTTGCCATGCTAGCAACTAACACCACGTTGAACCAGGGACCAGGTGCTGCCGGCTCTTCTGATGTTCCAAAACATGAGAAAAATCTGACTTTTATCAGAACAGTTCACAGCTTTTAAATTTCTGTCAGACAGTTAACAGATCTTAAAATCAAAGTACATACACACTCATACACACACACACACACACACACACACACACACACACACACACACACACCATTACTTAGTCCTCAGGATGACGCTTTTTACCACTTTTCATTTACACATCAAAACTCATGCAGTATTAGCCCCTTTGGAAGGCGTTATTGGCATTACTGACTCTTTGTTCACATACCATCATAATGCACTTTCTCAGAGCCAAGCATGGATGTGGGACCAGCAGACAGAGGTACCCTACTGTGAGCAACAGGTGATGGTCCAAGAAAGAAACAGGTTCAAGTTCAAAATTTCAGGAGGTCATTTGGATTCCAAATAGCCATCATGGTACAGCTCAGAACCCATCTTTTTATTTGGCCTATCTGTTTATGTAACCAACACTGGCTTTGAATTTACTTAGGTAACCCAAGCTGTCCTCAGACTCTCAGTAATCCTCCTGTCTCAACCTCCTGAGGCCTGAGATTACAATTTTGTGCCACCTCCACGTCTCTTTTCAATGCCTGTTTTGTTGCTGTGTAAGACCACCACCTCAAGCCTTTACAAAGTCAGGTATATGATTTGAAAACCAGGAAGCTCAATGCTGGCAAGCCTAGATCAACGCCAAATTTCCTCTGAAAATAAGCAGAATACAAAGCCTAAAATAGAAATACAAACTAATAGTCTGCACATTCTGTTTGAAAAAGCGGCTTTCTTCTTTCCTGAGAAAACAGCAAACGGCAGACGCTCCAGGGACCTATGCTTGAAAGGTCACAGAGGCTTCAGTAGTAGCCTCAGGGGACCCACGATGGTTTCCTGGACTGTGGTGGCAGCCTGGGGCCAGACCACAGGGATCATGAAGGCAGAGGTGAAGACAGGGAAGGTCTTCCAGCACCAAGCTGGGATGCTGAGTCATGGGTATAAAGAACAAATCCCTGGGAAAGGTCAGTCTTTTCCCTCTGCCCATCCAGAGTCCAAATTATTGGCTTTTTTCCTGCAGACATCCCCCAAGGGTGAGGCTTTGAAGATCAGGCTGGAGTAGAAGTAGACTCACATTGGCCATTAGACAAAGTTCAAGAATTTGTCACTATTGGAAACTAAAATGGTCATGATGGCCTTGACGTTAACTACCCCACCTTGGCCAAGGTCTCCACTGATCCTGAGCAGACAGGCTGCTAAGATGGCAAGGTCATTAAGTCCCACACCATCCTGTGACAGGTGGCAGACCTCTGTCCTGCTTCCTCTCCTCCTCTTCTGTGTCCAAGAAGCCAGTACTGGTTCCAGTGGCTGCTCTTACTTCAACAGAGGCTGTGCTGACACCTGGGTGACTTCACCGAGGCCACTTTTGATGTCGTCTCCAAAACATATAGCTACCTGACCCCTGACCCCTGGAAAGTCCATACCATGTTCATCAACTCTCCCTATCAGAATTCATAGCCCATCTTCTGAAGACCCATGCCAGAATCTCCCTGCATAGGATACAGGACCCACACACATTTCTGTTGCTGCTATTGGTTTTGGTTTCAAGACAGAGTCTCCTGAATCCCAGGCTGGCCTTGAGCTCACTATGTGGCCAAGGATGAGTTTCTATTTCTGATCCTTTTGCCTGTGTCTTCTAAGGGCTGGGATTACAGGCATGCGCCACTCTTGCCTGGGCAAGCACTCTACCAACAGAGCTGTATGCCAGGCAACTCTATAGTGTTTTATACCATAAAAATCAAGTGAGTTAAGTCTGCTTTTTAAACAACAACAACAACAGAATGCCACAGCTTTGAAACATATCTAATAATTTTTTTGTATATAGTGCTGAGCATTGAGCCCCAGCATGCTAGGGAAACACTCTACTGCTGAGCTGCTCATCAGCCCTGCAATGTGTTTTAACTAATCATTTTGTGCTTAAATGGTTTGTGTTGTCTAGAAAACTCACAACTGCGATCCAACTTTTCCTTCAAAAATTCCAGGCAAATATGTTTATCATACTGTATCTGTCAGTAACACCTTCTCTAAAAGGGCCAGGTAGTAAATACTTGAAGTTTGTAGAGAGCTCATTTATTCATTCTCTTGCTGTTATTCCATAGTTTTGTGCTGCAACAGCACAAAGGTAACTAAATCATATTGTGACTGTTTCGCAGCAAAGCTTCCATGTGTGGACACGAAATTCCGAAAGCAACATAACTCTTCACGTCTTGAAGCAGTCTGTTCTTCGATGCTGTTCTCAACTGGTGAAAATCAAATTAAGTGGGCGGTGGTGGTGCACACCTTTAAACCCAGCACTTGGGAGACAGAGGCAGGCAGATCTCTGGGTTCGAGGCCAGCCTGGTCTACAGAAAATCAAGCCAGGACTGGCGAGTTGGCTTAGCAATTAAGAACAAGGGGTGTCCTGCAGAAAGATCTGGGTTTGATTCCCAGCACCCACATGGTGGCTCACAATCATCTGTAACCCCAGTTCCAGGGAATCTAATGTCCTCTTCTGTCCCCCCACAGACATTCAGGCACACACATGGTGCACAGACATACATGCAAGCAAAACACTCATACACATAAAATAAAAATTTAAAAATTATTAAAGAGAAAAAAATTGAAACCAGGCATGGTGGCACATGACATTAGTCGAAGCACCAGGAGGCAGAGACAGGCAGTTCTCCATGAGTATAAGGCTAGTTTGGTCTACATAGTGAACTCCAAGACAGCCAAGGGTACACAGAGAAACCTTGTCTTGAAAACAAGCAAACCAAAACAAAAAAGGGGAAGGAGCGGGGGTGGGGGTGGGGTGGGGTGGGGGATAGTAGTGAGGGATAGTAGACAATACCAAAACAGGTCAGAGTAAGGCCACAGGCGGTCTCAGGCTGATCCTTGCGCTAGATTTTTCATTCTACCCCTCAGACTGAATATTGCCACTTAACTGTTGCTGAAATCCATTGTAACATCTGCATCTTTCCCCAAGAAGAAGTGTGGAGTGATGGAAACCTTGATCGTCCTTATATAGACGGGGAAGCCTTTTTACGTACACCGTTTGAAAGGGCGCAGTGCTGGATTTAGGAAGAGTTTTGACAAGTAACCGACGCTTTTAACCTCAAGTTCCTCATCTGTAGGATGCAGATAGCAGGAGCTACGGTGCTGTAGAGATTAAGTGGGCCAGTGTGCACAAAAGCACTTGTGTACACATACCTGGTGCCACCCGTCCCTGGTTTCTAAGAGGGTGACAGAAGACTCAAGAGTGGACAAGTTTGTTTGGCTAGCCCTAGACGTGCTAGGGCAGAGTCTGATGCTGTCATTATGGTGGATGCTCCTGTCTGCCACAGCTAGCTTGCTTGCTTGCTTGCTTCCTTCCTTCCTTCTTCTTCTATAAAATGGAGATATTAAAAACACAGTTGGATGGCGACAGAGAGATGGTTCAGTAGTTAAAAGCACTGACTGCTCTTCCAGAGGACCCAGGTTCTATTCCCAGTGCCTACATGGCAACCCACAACTACTGCTAACTCCAGATCCAAGGGGTCTAGCGCCCTCTTCTGGCATCTGCAGGGACCAGCCATGCATGTGGTACACAGGCACATATACAAGCAAAACACACATACATATGAATAATGAAAAAAAAAAGAACTCACAATTAACCAACAGGCTTATTACAAGACTGAAATAGGCACCGCACAGTGCGGTGGCTTAATTACACACCCTGAGAACATTTATTGCCCTCAACGTGCCTTAGTTCCTCTACTATTGAGTTTAATTAAAGGGTGTTAATTTTTGAGACAGGATCGCATGTAGCCTAGCCTGGCCTTGAACTCCTG